CCACAAGGTCAGTGGTTCAAGCCCACCAGTTGCGCCTCTGAAAGCTTGTACAGGGTTGCTGTGGATCAGAATTGACTCAACAGCGCTTAACAATAACAACAAAATCATGTTGAGCATCTTTTAATGTGTTTGTTGGTCATTTGTATATCTTCCTTGGTGACATACTTACTCAAGCCCTATGCCCACTTTTTGGAATGGATTGATTGCTGTTTTTGTTGTTAGGATGTAAGTTCATTCTATATTCTGGATATTAGGCCATTATCCAGTTTATGACTCCCCAAAATTCACTCTCTCAACCTATAGGTTTTTTCTGTGTTGGTATTATATATATATGTATATAGTTGTTGCTGATAATATACACATGAAAACATACACCGATTCAACAGTTTCTCCATGTACATTGAGTGACACTGATGATATTCTTTGAGTTGTGCAGCTGTTCTCACCTTTTCTGAGTGATTCATTCCTCAGTAACATAAACTCATTGTCCCCTTAACTTTCTTTGCAGTTGCAATTGTCAATTTGATCCCCAATAGATAGTTATTAAAAGAGCATATAATGCTCAAATCAGACGTGTTTTTTTACTAGGTAAGCAAAACTGTTGTTTGGTTTTAAGAAGACTTCAGGTATTATTTTTAATTTAAGGTTTTTAAAGATTGTGTCAGAGCGATAATTTCAGGGTTCATAAAGTTATAAATGGCTGCAGAAAGTTTTAATTTTTATGAAGTCCAATAAGTCTATCTCTTTTATTGCTCTTCTTTAAGTGTCATCTAGTAATCTATTGCTGTCTTCTAGTAGCCTGGGTTATTCTAACTCATAGTGACCCTACTGCACACAACAGAAAGAAACACTGCCCTCTTTTACACAGCCTCCCAATGATTGTTGTGTTTGAATCCAGTGTACCCAAGCACTGTTCCTTTTTTTTTTCATAAGCATTTTGTGGCATTCGTTTTCATGTTTAGGCACTGTATCTATGTTTGTATATGATGTGAGCCTATGGATCCACCACCTTTTTCTTGCATGGAGCGATCCAGCTGTCCTGCGCATTTGTTGAAGAAACTCTTCTTTCCCCAGTGAATGGACTTAGTCCCCCTGTTGAAAATCAATTGTATGGACTTACTTCTGGACTCTCAATTCTGTTACCTTAATCTATACATCTGTTGTTTATCAGTTACATTTTGTTAGTTGCTTCTGTTTCTCCTTTTAAAGATTTACCATTTGAATATTAGAAAGATTGTAAAACTCATGTTTCCACAGTGCCCCAAACTCTTTTTATCAGATTTGAATCGTTTCCTAAGTTAAAATTTAAGCCTTATTTCAAATTATATCTGACCTCTTGGTTATGATGGTGGTAGTCTTAAGTGCCATTGAGTCAGTTCCAACTCATAGAGGCCCTGTATAGGATTTCCAAGGAGCAGTTGGTGGATTGGATCTGCTGACCCTTTGGTTCACAGTCCAGCACATAATCCTACAGCACCACACCAGGAGTCCAGTCTGATCTGTGGTGGTGGTGGTGTGCCTTGGAGCCAATTCTTTCTCGTAGCGACCCTGTATAGGGTTTTCAAGGCTGTACATCTTTACGGGAGCAGAAAGCCTAACTGCTGATCTTGCAATTAACAGCCCAACTCGTTACCTACGACGCTCCAAGGACTCGTTAACGGACTTATTTCGTTATTGAGTGCTGTTGAGTAAGTTCCGACTCATAACAATCCTATAGGGTTTCTAAGGAGCAGCTGGTGGGTTTGAACTGCTGACCTACATTATTGTTAAACTGCTGTTGAGTTGGTTCCATCTCATAGTGACCCTGTATAGGGTTTCCGAGGAGTGGTAGGTTTGAACCACCGATCTTGTAGTTCAGACTTATGGTCCAGTGTGTTACCCTGCAGTGCCACAACAGGCCTTTGTTGTTGTTATGTGCCGTGGAGTCGGTTCTGACTCATAGCGATCCTGTACAAGGTTTCCGAGGCTATAAATCTTTACAGGAGCAAAAGGTTCATCTTTCTCCTGTGGAACAGCTGGTAATTTCAAACGGCTGACCTGGAGGTTCATAGCCCGATTCGTAACCACTACGCTACCAGATATCCTACACACCAGGCCTTAGATTCCTAAAAATAAAATACTGGAAATTCGGCTCTAATTCTACATATCTTAAAATGTTGCTGTTGCTGAGTGCCTTCCAGTTGGTTTCAACTTATAGTGACCCTTTATAGAGCTTCTGAGGAGTGGTTGGTAGGTTTGAACTGCTTACCCTGCAGTTCAACCCAACCTTGTGGGTTTTGCTAGACCCTGACAAGAAGAGTTAGCAGTGTTCAGAATCTGACTAATCGGTTTTCAGTGTCTGAGTTTTGTTGTTTTTTTTTGAATCCACAAAGTATTAATGGATGAAATTATGCTACTTTAAGTCCCTGGAATGGTAAGTGCCTGAAGACATAAACATCTCACAGAGTGTAGTGATTACTTTTAAAAGATTCAGAAACGGATTATTATCACAAAGATCATCATTTTATATTTTTTTACCTAAAATGCAGCATTTTTATAGATACTACATAAAATAATTATCTGTCGCTACTGGGATATTGGAGTTCTGGTGTGATGTGGTAGGATAAGCACTGGACTGCTAGCTGCAAAGTCAGTGGTTCAAACCCAAAGCCAACCCTTCTCAGAAACCGTAAGTCGGAACCAACTCGATGGCACCTAACAGCAATACTAATTATGATATCAGAATCTCATGTGACAAATACTTTCATTTTTTAGGGATCAGCTGTAGTTAGAGTGTTGCCTTTGTGATTATCTGCTGTTGCTTCATAACTTCCTCTCCCCAACATTAATCTAAGTTAAATACATTCCTTAAAGGCGAATGAAACCATGAGCCATAGCAGTGGAATTATAAGAGAATTTGAACAGAGAGGTTATAAAATGCCTTGAAAGCTAGTAAGACAAGATAAGATGATTCATTAGTTAAGACCAGGAAATGTTTTCTCATATTCTTGACACTCCTCCACCCTTGCCTGCCTACTTCCAGCTTTTTTGTTTTTTGTTTTTGCTGCATCATGGAAAGCCAATGAGGCTAGAGGAGAAAGAAAGTCTACCATCTTTGATTCACCCTTGACTCCGTTTCCTCTGAGGTTTAAGTATTGGGTCTAGTCTGCCAGTCAGCCAGTGAGTACCTAGTAAAAACCTACTCTGGAATAGGGAATATGACACCATCTAGCTCTGGTAACGTAGTGGTTACAAATCATCAGGCTGTGAACCTCAGGGTTCAATGTGAATGTAAATTACAATGTAAATTGATGTAAATGATTTAATAGAAAAATATATTTTTGTATATTATCATTTTTAATCTTGACACACAGTCTGTGATATGCAAAAGTTAGCTAAGGAGACCAAGGCCTTAAAAAGTTGATGTGACTTGCTCTGAGTCATACTTTTGCTAAATAGATGAGCTTGGACGTGAACTATAGGCCATCTTTCCATTCCCACTGATAGACATACATCATGGACACACTCTTGAATAGCAGTATTTGGAGGATTTCCACAATCCCAAAGTATTTCCTACGTTCACTTTCAAATTACAAGTTAAAATAATAATATATAAAATAGATTTTACCAAAGAAACACAAATCTGTATATACACACATATACCAAGATTAGGAAGGCAGATTGATTACGAGAGCTAAATTGATTTAGCACTTTCTTTTTCTTTTTTTCGTTTAATTGTATTGATAACATGCAGTGTAAACAAGGATATAATTTATTCAGGTATAAATAATTGGCACACTGTCTTTGTGTTGTTTCCTAGCAAGTTGTTGATATGTATCTGTTATGCTTAAACTTTTTTTTACTGTTCTTGAAATAGCTCGTTTACACATATGATAAATATGCATCTATTTCTACTGTAAGCTTTTTCACAAAATTGTCTCATTCCATGAGAGAACATCTTCCCCAGGATTGTGGGCCTAGAGACTGCCTTGCACATTTGCAGTCCAGGAACGTGGATTGTGCACCTGTGTACTAGGTCAAGGTGGTGGTTGTTGTTATGTGCCATGGAGTCGGTTCCAACTCATAGCAACCCTGTACAGGGTTTCCGAGGCTGTAAATGTTTATGGGAGCAGAAAGCCTCCTCTTTCTCCCGCGGAACAGCTGGTAGTTTCGAACAGATGACCCTGAGGTTAGCAGCCCGATTCATAACCACTACGCTGCCAGAGCCCCTTACTCTAGATCAAGGTAACAGCCATTAAATTTCTCTAGGTGCCTGATAGGGACCACTTCTCTTTGTTTTCATTATGCATTTTAAAACAAGTAAGCAACTGAGTTTTTCTGGCTGCTTTCAATGTGAACGTGTATAAATGTGGAAGAGGTATTATAGAGTGCCGTGCTTACCACGGCCTGTCAGGACCTGTTGTTAGTGCAGTTGTTTGTATCTCTGCATACTCTACCAAGTTCTGAGCAGTAGAGTCTCTAATTGTGCCACGTTATGTAGCAGTTTTGTTATATAGAAAAAATGCCTGTAAGGGACTAGCCTGGAGCCCTGGTGACACAATGGCTAAGCACTCAGACGCTAATGGAAAGATCATCAGTTTGAACCCACCAGCTGCTCCATGGGAGAAAGACATGGCAGCTGCTTCCGTAAAGACTTACATCCTTGGAAACCCTATGGAACAGTCTTGCTCAGTCCTGTCTGGTCACTGAGTCCACATCAACTCAGTGGCAGTGGGTTGGGTTGGGTTTAGGTAAGGAATGAATGTGAAACCACTAATTTTATTTTGTCAGCTTCTGAAAGAGAATTTGAGCTACCATTTTTTAAGGTGAAAAGTTAATATCCTGGCTTCTGCTTCCAGGGAGCTCTCATTCCGTGGCAGGGCGATGTACTGTAATTCTTTAATAGCCACATGTGATCCCACTAGAAATTTTTTTTTTTAATGATTACAATAAAAATGTTTTTATGTCACTCTGTCCTGGAAATAGCACTGCCATTTAATTCACACTTGTGTTTGTTGTAGAGAAAGCAGCAGCTGCCAACAGAGATGAAGTGCAGAAGTCAGATGTTTCATCTACAGGACAGAGTGTCATCGACAAGGATGCGCTGGGGCCTATGATGCTGGAGGTAGCACATGCTCATTTTGGTTTTATATTTTTTAATATTACTGATAGCCACATTATTGACTTTCATTTTCAGGGTGAATTAAATTTTAGGATAATCCACACATAGTTTCACTCTTAGATTGAAATAGTATTGGCCTCACGAGCTTGCTAATACATTAGTGGAATATGTTGTCTGTCTTTCTATCCATCCATCCATCCATGGAATCCCTGGGTTGATACAAACAGTTAAGCACTGGGCTACTAAATAAATGTTTGCAGTCTACCCATAGGTACCTGATAAGAAAGACCTGGAAATCTACTTCTGAACAATCACAGCCATAGAAAGCCTGTGAGCACAGTTTTACTCTGACGTGCCCGGGGTCGCCATGACTCAGAGTCAACTCAATGGCAGCTGATTTAAAAAAAAAACAATCTATTCACTATTTATTATCTATCACTCTACAAATGTTCTAGCTCTTGCTTCAAATGTTATGTGTGGATGTTTGTGTATATACGTATATGTGTGGTATGTGTAAGTATATACAATTTCAATATTAACCATGTCAGATTAATTTTAAACTACCTTAGAATACAAATTGGCAGACTTTATTTAGCTTTCAGTTGAATATTCATTTTAGAAAACCATGGTTTACATGTGTTAATTAAATTCTGTGCTAATTCAAAATTAATTTGAAATGTTCCCCAAATTCTTAAATAGTGCTTGTTCAATGCATTAGATGCCTGTATACCCAGGTTAATATTTGAGGACCAAAGAGAGGTTGATTTCGGGGTGCTTTTTAAAAATGCTACCTCAAACTGTTTATATATATGATCGATATGAAAATTGAATTAATGAGCATCAGGGATATTTTAGATCCAAATAATTATACGTATAATGGTTGGTCTTAACTGCTTGTTCTTTATTGACTTTAGGAAGTTTTATAACCAAAGTATGAACTAGATTATGTAAAGTTCAATCTTCCTATTTTACTAACTAGCATAGTATTAAATGGCATCCTGGTGTGGCGCTGTGGCCTAATGTGTCAAACTGCAAAATCGTTTGAACTCCGAGGTCGATGGTTCAAGCTCACCAGCTGCTCCTTGGAAACCCTATGCAGGGTCACTATGGGTCAAAATTGACTTGACAGCACTTAACCACAACAACATAGTGTTAAATACCAAATGCTTTGCTGTACCTGTTCCAAAATTAAAATTCCAGATGAGACAAAAGTAGTTAATGTATGGACTATAGCAAGAAGCAGAGGAGCTCTGAGACATAAATTTATGTCGGTTCTCAGGACACTTTGCTTACGATAAGATGCAGTTAAAAAATACCATGTGGCTAGAGCTTAATAGCAGTATTGTCATTGGAAATTTGATTAGCTTATTGCAGCAGCCACAGATGTAGGAGAAATTTGAATTTTAAAACAATGATCGACCAATTGTTTCTCAACCTTATCATCCGTCTTTATTTGAGTCAGTGAATATGGTGTTTTTTTATTTTTAGAAAGCGTAGTTCTAATAAAAAGAGCAGGCTTACTGGTCGGATAGAGAGTAGTGGCACTCTCAGACTCTGGCCTTTAGACACTCACTTTTCAAGCCTGGAAGTGAACACACCCCAGTGGCTCAAGGTGCAGCTAAATGGCACGTCTAAAAGATGAACAGTAACACCATGGAGAGGTCCCATGCCCATGCCGGGGTGGGGGGGTGGGGGGGGTGGAGATAAAGCTCAGAAGGTAGGAAGGCATAGGAAAGATTGCTGAATGCAAGTGGTAATCACAGGAAGGAAGTGGGAAGAATGCCTTGTTGAATGGAAACCAATTTGCTGTGTAAACTTTCACAGAAAGCCCACTAAAAAGAAAATGTAGTTCTGTGAAGGAAGATCTACCATATAATTTGAGGGAGTAAAGCACAGAAAGGAACCCTGTGGCGGTGCCATAGTTAATGAGTTTAGTTGGTTCAAACCCACCATCTGCTCTATGGGAGAAAGGTGTGACAGCCTGCTTCTGTAAAGATTTATAATCTTGAAACCTTATGAGCACTTCTACTCTGTCTTATGGAGTCCTGGTGTGGCACTGTGGATTAATGCGCTGGACTCAAAGTCAATTTGAACTGCAAGGTCAGAGGTTCAAGCTCACCAACCACTCCTTGGAAACCCTATACAGGGTCACTATGGGTCAGAACCGACTGAGTGGCACTTAACAACAACAACACTCTGTCTTACAGGGTCACTATGAGTTGGAAGTAACTCTACAACAACAGGTTTGGTTTTTACTTTCAATTAATGAATGACAAAATCCATTCCTTATATCTCAGAGTTAGCCAGTGACAGGGCTTGGATTGGTTCTGATGATCAAAAGGCTTTTAATGATACTGTGTATGCCTGCGCTTATCTGCTCTTGAATCACTGGCTTGAAAACATCTAACTACAATTTCCAGGGAAAGAGCAAAACACACTTAAACTGATTTCTCGAAGTCAACAAAGGCAATAGAAGCCAGAGAGTGCTATTTCCTGCCTGGTTCTTAGAAGCAGATCACAAAAACTGTAACTAGGTGGACTCTAACTAGAATGATAGATGAAAGATAGATAACTTCCTTTGGAAAAAAGTTTGAATTACAGGCAGAAAATTGATTAGAAAATTATGGTAATCTAAATTATTACATTTGGGAAATTTCCATGTACCTGGTGTAGGGTGGGGGGCTTAAGGTAGGGTGGAAACTCCGTACGTAACTTTTAAGGCCTTGAAAATGAAATGCTGGGAGAACCAGACTGTGACTCAAGTCGTTTAAGAATGAGTTCATTAATTGTAGAAATCAAATTGCTAGATCAGTGGACCTTATCTCATAAAATCAAGCCAGTGTTTTCTGCTATTTCAAAACAGTCTTACAATTTAATGACTAAGCAAGCACCTGTGTGGCTGGATGTTAGAGCAGTAATGTCTGAATCTGTTGGCTTAGTATTTGAATTTAAGTCGTTCTCCCTGTTTACATGTAATCATTTAAACAGAGAAAAGCATGTTCCTGTTGAGCTATTCCTAGGCATAGATGCACACTCATGCTTGCATCATAGCATAGTGGTTGCTAGGCAACAAAACCAAATGTCAGCTTTTTTTCATCAGAGCATAACAGAGGGCTTTTTTAAAGAAAACACAAACATGTTACGAGATAAAACAGTTTCGTCTCTGAGTTTTATTATGCCATAAATCAATTTATTTACCATGGTACAAAGCAATAGGAAGCAACATGTATTCTCAGAAGTGACTGATGGTAATATAATTATGAAAATTTCTGTTAAATGTGCACCTAAAGCTATGATTTTTGAAAGGACAGTGGGTATGTAACTGATCACTGGCTTACTTCCTGGTCTCTTCCTCCATTCACATAGTCACACGTGTGCACATTGTATACTCAAACAAGGAAGTCTCTCAAGGGTTATTGTCAGTGTATTATGGAAGGTCATTTATGTATAGTTTGCTTTGCCCTGGATATTGTCTTTACCATTGAGAAAACCTGACCGAATATTTAATAACAACCCTTGAACTATGAGATCTTTCTTTCTGCCTTTTTTCCCCCCCAAAGTTATCCGCCGCTGCTTTGTGGTTAGTTCTGATTTGAGAGAGTACTTAGTTTAGAGATGAGAGTAGAATCGAAGATGGAAGATGTTCAAAGATAGCTCACAATGTTAAAACCTGTTAAAATCTTGAGGAAAAAAACAATTAAGGGAAAAGTCATGCCCCATTCATACCCACGGACACACATACATATACTGTGTGGCATAAACTGGCTGTAACTTATCAGTACCCAGCCTTTTCTTGTCCTAAATCAGAAGTCTAGCAAAAAGGGAAGAGGAAGGACAACAAAGAGAAACTCATTGGACCCCCAAAGCTTTTTATCACCAAGGCAAACGTTATTGCAAGTGGGGCTGGATGTGTAGTTTGGAGTAGAACATTCTGCCACCTAATGATCAAAAGTACGAATTCTGGGGTCCGGGGCACCTCGATTCAAATTCTAGCTTTGCTACTTATTATTTGTAAGATATAAGCAAATCACTTAACTTCTGTGACCCTGAGAGTTTTCCTCTGTAAATTGGGAAGATAAAGCACTATGTACTCTGATCCATCCACCCAAAATGCTGAAAGGAAAGAAGGCCAAGGTGAAGAAGGTGGTGCCAGCACCTGCTGTTGTCCAGAAGCAGGAGGCCAAGAAGGTGGTAAATCCCCTTCTTGAGAAAAGGCCCAAGAACTTCAGCATCAGACAGGACATCCAACCCAACAGGGACCTTACCCGCTATGTCAAATGATCACACTACATCTGGCTACAACGGCAACAGGCTATGCACTACCAGCAGCTGAAAGTGCCCCCTGCCATTAGCCAGTTCACTCAGGCCTTGGACCACCAGACAGCCAGCCACTCAGCTGCTAATGCTGGCCCACAAGTACTGGGCAGAGATGAGCAGCAGAAGCTGCTGGCAAAGTGGATATTCCCACCAAGAGGTCCCCCCGTTCTGTGTGCTGGGGTTAATGCTGTCACCACTCTGGTAGAGAACAAGAAGGCCCAGCTGGTGTTGATCATACACGACGTGGACATTACTGAGCTGGTTGTTTTCCTGCTGGCCTTGTGTCGCAAAATGGGGGTTCCCTACTGCATCATCAAGGGGAAGGCCCGGCTGGGAAGCCTGGCCCACGGGAAGACCTGCATCCCTGGGACCTTCATGCAGGTGAAGTCTGAAGCCAGAGGAGCTATTGCTAAGCTGGTGGAAGCCATCAGGACCAATTACAATGACAGATTCGAAAAGATCCAACTTGACTAGGGAGTCAATGTCCTGGGCCCCAAATCAGTGACTCACATTGCCAAGCTGGAAAGGCTAAGGCCAAAGAACTGGCTACCAAATTGGGCTAATGTATGCAGCTGGTTTCTCTGTACAGTCAAATAAAATCCTTCTTCAGCTCAAGGAAAAAAAAAAAGAGAGAGACAATGTGTTTAAAGCATGATAAGCGTGCTCAGTACATGTTACTTGTAACTTAATTTCCTCTAGTGATCCTAGATTTGTCGTCTCCTCTTTTCCTGTTCTAAATTGAGATGACAAAAAAGGAAGACTAGGAGATCATAGTAGCGTAGTGGTTACGAATCGGGCTGCGAACCTTAAGGTCAGTGGTTCGAAACTACCAGCTGCTCTGCGGGAGAAAGATGAGGCTTTCTACTCCCGTAAGGATTTACACCCTCGGAAACCCTGTACAGGGTCGCTATGGGTCGGAACCGACTCGACGGCACAACAACAACAATGAGATCATTACAATAAACATGCTCCTAATCTACGTGATTTAGCGATTTGCATTTTAACTATCTTAAAAACAAGTGCTGTTATTGCTATTATTAAGTACCTTGAGCCATTTTCGACCAACACAGGGTTTCCAAGGAGCTGGTGGGTTTGAACTGCCGACTTTGTGGTTCAAACGTAAGAGCTCAGTTGGCTTGTGTTCCAGTTTTTATTATCATAAACCAAAACCTGTGACCCCATTTCAGTCCAGGACACGGCTGGTCGCATCTAAACCTGAGTTCCCCATGAAAACTAGTTTTCTTTAATGAGATAGCTACCCCAGACCCCTTGTCTATATACACTAAACAAGGATTCATGTTTCTTTGAAGGTCCAAAATTGCCTGTAATTATTTTCCTTTAAATCCAGGCAGCTTTAAAAGTAGTAAAATTTTCTGATTTTGTCTATGCATTTATCCTTAAACTAAGGACAAATTATCATTGACTCCTTCCCTCCACTGTATAATCTGAAAAACTAGAACAAAATTACTTTGTACTGGTTTAATAACATAAAAGTTATTTCGGGCCCTGTGGAGCACATCATTCTCATTTTGAAAATACAGATAAATGCCTGTGTACTGTACTTAACAATAATTACTTCCTGATAAATTAAGAGAGTTAGTGTTTGTCATTTAGTTTGTGACAAGAAATCCTGTTCTGAGCTCTCTCCCATTTATTGAAATGACATAATCTATTTCACCAAAAGAAAAAATGTGTTAATTATTTCTGAGAAGGATGAGAGAGATCTTTTCTATTCCAAGTATGAATTATGTGTTTCCCTTAAAGGGGTCTTACCCTTAACAGTTGCATATGATTTTATTTTGCATCTTTCCTAACAGTTTGTTCCTTTTCTCTTAGGCCCTTGATGGGTTCTTCTTTGTAGTGAACCTGGAAGGCAACGTGGTGTTTGTCTCAGAGAATGTAACACAGTATCTAAGGTATAACCAAGAAGAGCTGATGAACAAAAGTGTATATAGCATCCTTCATGGTGGGGACCACACTGAATTTGTCAAAAACCTGCTGCCAAAGTCTATAGGTAAATGTTTGTCTTCTGGGTCTGAATCCCTGCACACACACACACCAGAAAATTACTTGGGGGAAAGAGTAGCTAGACAGTTTTTTTAGTACTTAGTATTGAGAATTTAAGATTACAAGTCATTAAGAAAGCACATCTTCAAGTACTGATCTGAAATGATTATTTTGATTGTATATTTAAAACAAGTGAAAATATAAATAATCCAGATGTAAAGTACTCATGATGCAACAAGTTCCGTGTGTTTTGTTTTAAGAAGGAGCCAAACTGCCTCCCACTCAATCCAGTGGCAGCTGACCCTTTTTATCCATCTTCTCTGTGGCCATTTGAAGAAACAGGAGGGGTACAAGAAGCCTGAGATTTGACCTAGTTTTGAGTCATACGTAGGCAAAGAGTGTGTTTGTGAGCTTTTACGAAATAAAATGCTAAGAACAAGTGATGTATGTTGTCATTGTGTGCTGTCAAGTCAGTTCTGACTCATAGAAGCTCTGTATAGGGTTTCCAAGAGCAGCTGGTGGTTTGAACTGCCGACCTTGCAATTAGCAGTCCAGTACTTATCCCTACAGCACCACACCAGGGCTTGAAGAAGTGTTCAAATGGCATTAGCTCAGGAGTCCTGCATGGGCTCTTTGATTTCTCCAGCTGCTCTGCTGCTTCCTTACCCACTCTGCCTGTTTCAGATGTCCTGGCTTCTTTACCTTTATTTTAAAGATGCTGTCCAAAAGTGTGTGTGATTATTTAAAGTGGGTGATTCACAGCGTGGGCCCACTTTAGTTGCTATTCTGCAGTATTGTTGCTCCCACTTACTAAGTAGTTCTTTTTTTAATATTCTCACTTAAACTGATGATACTAAGAATGTCTTCACAGATTAAAAAGCAGTGCATATTTTAGTACATAGTAAGGTCAAGTTCCAAGCAAGCAAATACTCCTATTCTCTTCCTTAAAACTTTGTATTAGTCCGTCTAATTGTTACTACTGTCAGTAGGAAAAGGTCCTTCTTAATTTTCATTATTGCTAGCTCTTCCTTGATATGATAACCCTTTGTTAAAAGTGACTGTAACAAATGTATGAATACTGATGTGAGATTCCTCTATTATATTCTCTAGTAAATGAGCAAGAAAATTAGATTCCTATTTCAACTAATATTCTAGATCTCGTCAGTAATTTTATGACTTCCTCAAAGGACATCTGCTGTTATTAATCCACTTGTATAAAGAGCCTTACCTTATATTGTACCTTTTTTAATTATTATTAGTTTAACTTTCTTATTATCCTGAATTAATAAGAGCCCTTTCTTTCCTCCTTGATTGCCCTACATAGTCTCCATTAACAATAAAGTTTTATATACAGATGATGCCAGGTGAATCGCAAATGTCTGCGTAGATGTGTAAATCTAACTATGAAGTTCCTTCAGTGATTTTAGAATACTTTCTTGTAGTTAACTTGGAATTTACCTTTTTTTCTTTCTAAGTTTTGTTTTCTTTTTTGTCCTTTTCAGCCAAGTGCCCATAGGCTTAGTATTTGGTTCACCATAACACCCAGATGTCTTTTTGAGTGTTTTCTAGCTGTGCCTTTTGAGGGTATATTTGCTGTTCGTTGATAACTAGTCTTTTGATTCCCTGTCTCATTGTCCTTCTGGTCACTGTTTTCTCATATCCAGTCTTTAAAAATGATGTCTTTCCTTTTTCTCATTATCTTTTCAGAATTAATATATTACATATTTTAGCTTTGATACAAAATAGAAAACTGTTGAAAATAGTTTGGTTTTTTGTTTTTTTCACTTGAAAAGAAATAGATGACATTAATCATGTATATGCAGGGAAATTTTTTTTTTTTTTTTTGTCTCATTGAAGAAATATACATGAAGCCATTTTTAAAGGCTACAATAGGGTAATTGAGCAACAATCAAATTACAGAGGGTGCACAAAAATTTCCATATAATTTGAGCAAAGAAAGATCTATAAAAGAAGGCCTTGTGTGGTTCTTAGAGTTGTTGATTTAGTATTTGCTATTGCAGAGCCCTGTTGTGGCACTGTGGGATAATGCACTGGACCAAAAGATCAGTTTGAGCCACAAGGTTGGTGGTTCAAATTCACCAACCTCTCATTGGAAACCTTGTTACAGGTTCACTATGAGTTGGAACCGACTCGAAGGCACTTAACAATTACGGGATTCAGGGTAACCCTGGTGGTGTTTTAGGGTAAGCATTGGGCTGCTCACCTCACAGTCAGCATTTCAAACCCTATGGAGCAATGCTCCTCAACCTTATAGTGTCACTATGAGTTGCAGTTGACTTAAAGGCAGTGGATTAAGGACCTACCTTTGGATGGAAGAAAGAAAAGCAACCTGATACATTAGAAAGGGTGACAGAAGCAAAGATATCCATGTGGGCCTGGATAGGGAGATTTGTGTTGGGGAATGTGATTGATCTGGTTAGATGATACTGGGTTAGTTATCAGTTTGAATGGACTTCAAATTTGATTCTGACTACATTTGGAGCTCTGGTAGCACAGTGGCTTCAAGTCAGGCTGCTAACCTCAGGGTCAGCAGTTTGAAACTAACCAGCCATTCCACAGGAGAAAGATGAAGTTTTCTGCTCCCATAAAGATTTTACATCCTCAGAAACCCTATGCAGTTTCACTGTTGAGTCAGAACCGACTCCACAACACACTACCATCACATTTAGTATGAGTCCTGGTGTGATGCTGTAGGATAAGCAGTTGACCACCATATTGGTTTGAACCACAAGATGGGAGGTTCAGACTCACCAGTCGCTCCGTAGAAACCTTATACAGGGTCGTTATAAGTCAAAATTGACTCGATGGCACTTAACAACAGCAACATTTAAATCCTTCTGAAGAATCTTATGCATGCTGCAGTTGCTGCCACTTACTTTTTTGATGAGAGCTTTTGAGAAGACAGTAACATATCTAAAATTAGAATGTAAGTGAACTGAAGTTACTCTCCAAGAAATAAAAATTATGAAGACTTGATCTTTTAATACATAATCAAGGCCTGAACTAGAAGCCAAAGAGTCAGGATGAGAGTAAGAAGTGTAGAAGGTATTTTGAAAGTCCCAAGTATTTTCCCTCCTCTGTACTTTGAAAACATTTAGCAGAGTATAAAATGTACTGTGTTCCTAAATGTAAAGTAAAAATAACATTTTTATATCATTTTGATAATTCAGCAGCAGTGAGCCTAATGTTGACTTCTTTCTAATACCAAGTTACTTTTGCCTTGCTCAGTGAATGGGGGCTCTTGGTCTGGGGAACCTCCGAGGCGGAACAGCCATACCTTCAATTGTCGGATGCTGGTAAAATCTTTACCTGATTCGGAAGAGGAAAGTCATGATAACCAGGAAGCACATCAGAAATATGAAACTATGCAGTGCTTTGCTGTTTCTCAACCTAAGTCCATCAAAGAAGAAGGCGAAGGTAGAGCAACATTTCCAGGAGAGTTTTTGTGCCCGCATGTTTACTCCTGCACCACATCTTTCACACTTGATCATCTCAAATGCGTGCTCACATTAAGAAACACTGAAGAGCAGCTTCTTTGTTCTTCTCACCTATGATAGGATGTTTAGTTTTTGTGATATTCCGTTTTAAAAAGAGCCCCTAACTAAAATAGCACTGTCTAATAAAATGGTTTGTGGTGACTTTATACAGTTTTATACAAAGAGGCTTCTAGAAGTTCATGGAAAAATTCCATTACCTTTCCATTCCATTTTTTACCACAAACTTTCTGAAGCTCCCTTGTAGATCTCCACTGTCAGTATGGGACCCACAAGCCACACATGCCTGTTGAGCATTTGAAACATGACTTGGACAATGGAAGGACTGAATTTCTCATTTGATTAAATTTAAATAGCCACATGTTGCTAGTGACTACCTTATCAGTGCAGCTCTACACCATTGGTAGTTTAACCTTTTGCTGACCTGAGGCTCCTTTGTAAATCTAATGCAAGGTATGTGCCACAGTCCTAGAAAGACGCACACAGGCACGAACAGTTTTCATGTACTTTTAAGGTCTTAATGGATTGATTACATATAGCTTGTCCATGGGAACTCGGCTCAGAAGATGAGATAATAAGACAAGAGGCTAGAGATAGGAGTGGTGAGAGAATGGGAGCTCAGACTATCAGCTCCTTAAGGAAATGCTGATTACTGTGAGTCCCTCAAGCAAGCCATTCCACATAGGAGAGTGTTTCCCTGTGCAATATGAAATGATACTAAAGAGTGCATTCTGTGTGTAAGTGGAAGAGACGGGGCCACTAGTGAAGTGGACACATCACGGATTTATAATCAGACCAACTCTCTAACTTTGGGAACAATCCTTGCCTCTGACAGGCATTAGTTTATTTTCAGGTGAAATTACTAATACCAGTATCAGCATGCAATAAGGATTAAATGAGTATGCCTGGATCGGGGTTGGTATTTTCTTACACTTAAAATATGTAAATTTTTTTGTTTTGTTTTCAATTTAGAGCTTACTGGAAAGAATAATTGAACTGTTATAGGTGATAGGTAGTTTTTCAAAATGTAGTTTTTACTTAGGCATGGAGTGTGACAGATGATTTCATTCTCTTTTCTACAGCAGTAAATGCTGCTCATTCACAATCCAAAGCAGTATAAAAAGAGTACACCTTAGCCAATTTTTGAATCCACATTTACATAATTTTACATTTTGTACATGTAAATGTGCTTTACATTACAACATTCCAGTTCCTTTCACACTGGATTCTGTATGTCAGCATACCATAGTATAAGAGCAGGCTGCTTAGCTGGATCGGCTCTAATTCAAAGCCTGACTCCACCCAAGTTTTGTGTGATGTTGGGCAGGGTGCTTCAATGTTGTACTGTGGTTTTCTCCTCTGGTAAGTAGGAACAATGCCAGTACCTACCTCACAGAGGTGTTAAAAGATTAAGTGAGTTGATAGCTTATAAATCCAGCCAAAAGGTGGCTTGCTTATAGTAATGCTAAAAAAATGTAGCTAGTACTAGGTTAGGGATGATGCTTATATTTTAATTTTTGATGCCAGCTGTTACTGACTATGATTCAAGAAAGTCTTTCCCAAAGGTAAAATTGAACAATAATAAATCAGTGACATAAAAAGATAGGAAAAGGATATTTTAATGACATTTTATACAGCATTATTGAAATTCAAAGGATTGTGCAATATACTCTTAAGTGTTACAAAGAAAATAAATCGCTCCTTGCCGTCCAGAGTGACACAGATACTTAAAACCATTGAAATGAGGTGAGGAATAAATGCTTAGGTGTTGGCTGTGTTAGAAACGGGCATGGCCAGGATTCTAAACTGTAATGGGGTTGTTTATGGCACACTCTGCATTTTCCAGATACCAAAGATGGCATCTCCAAATATGTAATCTTTGTTTTCAATTGCATATTGCCATTATAAGGTTATTTATATACTTTGGAAGGTGATATATTTCTTTTGTATCTTAGGTTTAGTTCTAGTTTTTCTGTAGATTGAAATAGCCAGCCCTTGACAAAGCAGAACATCAGATTTTTCTTGTCATCATTTTTGTATTTTATTTTGAATGACGCTGGTTTTCTATTAGCCATTTAATAAGAAAGATTCCATTTTTTCAGCTATCACTAGAGAGATGGTTTGATATTGATAACTGTGTACAATATGCAAGGTTTTTCTGAGGTGCCTTCCCCCCTCGTCCTGCACAGCCCACCCTTCCATTCCCCAGCCCCTTCTCACCCATTTAAGTTGAGAGTAAAGGGCCAGCAAAAACCAGAGGCAAACAGTGTTTTGTCATTAACTCTTTTATTGGCTAAGAAGGTTGTGCTGTCGTAAATATACTTTAGTTAGTTTGTATTGCTAAAAGAGCCTGATCTGATGAACATAATTGTATGGTTTAAGATTTGCAGTCCTGCTTGATTTGTGTGGCAAGAAGAGTGCCCATGAAGGAAAGACCAGTTCTTCCCTCATCAGAAAGTTTCACTACTCGTCAGGATCTCCAAGGTAAATTTTTCCCCCAAAAAAACTCATTTTAGAATGCTCACTTGTTATTGCCAGAAGTCTCTTAGACAGACTGTGAAAACGCTAATAGTTTCAGTTGTTTCTGGAGTAGAAATATCCAAGAGAGGGAGGAATGCTTATTTCCACTTACACGCTTTGGTACTGTGAACTTACACTACGTCTTTGAAATGAATACGTTTAAGTCTTTTGTAAATTTAAGGTGTCTGTAGGTTTAATGCATGCTCGTACTTAACAGGCAAGATTACTTCACTGGATACCAGCACCATGCGGGCAGCCATGAAGCCAGGCTGGGAGGACCTGGTGAGGAGGTGCATTCAGAAGTTCCACGCACAGCATGAAGGGGAATCTGTGTCCTATGCTAAGCGGCACCATCACGAAGGTAAGCATCGTTAAAGGATATTTTCTTGTAGCTGATTTTACTGTAATGATTATTTCTTACAGAAGTTCTCATTCAAGCAGGAATTCCTGAAGTACAGCTCTAATCAGGTGTGCCATCTAATATAAAGTACATTACCTGAATCATAAGGCAAATTTGTAAATAAGGATGAAATGAAATTTGAAAGATCGAATGAGTCACTGATAAAGTCAAGCCCTCCTTCCAGATGATGACCAAGAAAGACAAGCCAGATTTTAGGCCAGGAAGGTCCAGGCAGACTTGCCTGAGGTCACATGATTGATTAATACAGCAGCTAAACTAAACTCACAACTTCAGAGTCATGTGTCAGCAGTAACAGCCATTGCTGAGCTGGTGGTCCTATTTGGCATTATACCTCCCTTAACATTCTCACAGCTAACCTATAAAATCAGCATGATGGCTCTCGTTGTACGGATGTGGGAACAGATCCAGGTGAAATGAGTGACTCAAGATCATTCCATCAGTACGTGGAAGTGCTGGGAGCTGTAGCTGAGGCCTGGCCTGGTAGTGCTGCTCCCAGAGGTCTTTCCACGGAATTACTTAACTCTGAAGTGCATTTTAGTTTTGTGTTAGTGACTCAAGAGCAAAGGTAATTTCTTTGCTTTAATAAGTGCTGTTAATGGGAAAGAAGCCCTGGTAAGGTAGCAGACAACGAGCTGGACTCCTGACCACAGGCCCATAGTTTGAATCTATAAGCCACTCCATGGGAACAAGATGAAGCTTTCTGCTCCTCAAAGATTTACAGCCTCTGATAAGCCAGCAACGAAAAAGAAGCCTGAAGGCAAAAGAAGCAGGAGCTAGTGGCAAAGCTAAAAAAAGGCTAACCTCAAGGGCAAAAAAAAACATGAAATGAAAGCCCCACTGCATCCGAAATCCTGTCCTAGTCGAAGGGATTGACAGGTATTCCCAATCTGCCACGTAGTCCAGAAAGGCCACGTACAAGAGGAAGTATTCGCCTGCTACATCCAAGGTTGAAAAGGAGAGGTTCTTGCTACTGTCACAAAGCCAGTTGGTAGTGACAAGAATGGTGGTACCCGAGTGGCTAAATTGCACAAAATGCCTACACATTACCCTATTGAAGTTGTACCTGGGAAGCGTTGAGCCACAGCCAAAAACCCTTCAGTCAGCGTGTCAGAGACTGCAATCCATCACCACTCCTCGGATCACTGACCATCCTCACTGGATGCCACCGAGGCTAAAGAGTGTTTCCTGAAGCAGCTGGCCATGGCTTGCTCCTTGTCTATCAATCAAGTTCCTCTGAGTAGAACATACCGGAAATTTGTCATCGCCACCTCCACCAAAATTGATATCAGTAGTATGAAGAGGCCCAAACATCCTTCAGATTTTTACTTCAAGAAGAAGCTGCAGAAGCCCAGATACCAAAAAGGCAAGATCTTCGACATTGAGAAAGAGAAATACGAGATTACAGAGCAGAGCAAAGTAGATCAGAAAACTGTGGACTGACAAAATTATGCCAAAAATTAAAGTCATGCCCCAGCTCCAAGGCTACCTGTGTGCTGTGTTTACTCTCACAAATGGAATTTATTCTCACAAATTGGTGTTCTAGATTTCTTGTGAAGAAAGAGCCACATTAAATAACTGATATTTTTAAAAAAGATTTACAGCATGGGAAACGACACAACCACCACCACCACTAGAGGGAAGGGGGATCTTCTTTCTCCTCCTTAATGTTATTTTTTTCCCCATCAAATGATCCTTTATTGAATATTTTGTAGTACTTAGCTGGCTGGACATTCCACAGCACCACTGTTGATGCCATCCATGAGGTCATGAGGGCAGCGACCACCAACGTTGCAACCCACAGATTGGGCAGTCCCCTGGATCTGTTTAATAGTCCCAGAGAGCTCTCTGGCTAAAGACTACTGTCACATCTGACGGGCAATGCTGATAATCTCATCTAAAGTGATATTTCTACTGTGCTTAATACTTTTCTGCTTCTTTTGGTCTCTGGGTGGTTCCTTGAGAGCTTTGATGATCAGGGCAGAGGCAGAAGGCACCACTTCAATCTGGGCCTGTCTATTCTGAAGGGTTAGTTTCACCATAATCCTTAACCCTTTCCAGTCATCAGTTGCCTTGGCAATGTCATCACCAACATTTTTTGGACGTAAACCCAGAGGGCCGATCTTGGGGGCGAGATTGGTCATAGCCCTGACTTCCCCACCCTTGCACCTCAGGTACACGACTTTGACCTCATTGGGGTCAAACTTGGGCAACATGGCGCTGGTGGCTAGTGTCACATGAATCCAGGTGCTGGACAACTGAAGAAAGTTGCACTTACAATTCCTCTGAGACAAAAGCTCCCCTTTAACTTTTGATTCTCCTCTCATAGGCACTTTATGTCTGGACAGGGTACACTAATTAAAATGTGCCCCCAAAGAATTTTAGAGCAGCCCATATATCAAGAGCTAAGAGCAATGCATTGTACCTAATAACTTGTCACATTTTCTACATAGTTACTGAAAATACAGTTTTAGTTTGTCATCATCTATCTAACCATCTGTGACCTTGGCATTTCACCTGTGATTGTTAAGTGCCATCGGGTCAGTTCCAGCTGATAGCAACCCTGCATAGGGTTTCCAAGAAGCAGCTAGTGAGTTTGAACCTTGCAGTTCAAACCAACCTTGTAGTGTAATGTTTGTTTTTTCAAACATTATACAAGGGGAAGTCCAAATGTATTGCTATTAGGGTTCCAGCTCATAAATGTATGAGTTAATTCCAAACAAAATGTGTTTAAACATGTCTCTGGGATCAGACAAGTTTTCTCGATAACTCACTTGTCTTAGTCTTACTAGCAAAATGAAATCTTTAAGAGCGTCAATCTTTTCTCCATTAATCATATTTTAATTGCTCTGGTTGTCAGGATTTTTGTTTTCCTAACATTGAGGTACAATCCATACTGACGGCTATAGTTTTGATGTTCATGAGTAGACATTGTAAGTCCTCTTTGCTTCCACCAGCAAGGTATTGTAGCATCTGCATGTAAAGAAAATAAAAATCCTCACAACTAGACCAGTAAAGAACATCATGGTAAATGGAGGAAAGATAGAAGTTGTCAAAGACTTCATTTTACTTGGATCCACAATCAACATTCAAGGAAACAGCAGTCAAGAAATTAAACAACGTAATGTATTAGGCAAATCTGCTGCACAAGACCTCTTTAAAGTGTTAAAGAGTAAAGATGTCTGCTTGAGGACTAAGATGTGTCTCACGCAAACTATGGTATTTTCAATAGCCTCATTTGCATGTGAAAGTTGTATAATGAATAAGGAAGACCCTAGAAGAATTGATGCATTTGAGCTATGGTATTAGAGAATATCGAAAGTACCATGCACTGCTAGAAGAGCAAACAAATGTTTCTTGGGAAAAAATACAGACAGAATGCTCCTTAGAAGCCAATACGACAAGACTTAATCTCTCATGCTTCGGACATGTTATCAGCAGGGACCAGTCCCTGGAGATGGACATTATGCTTGGTAAAGCGGAGGTTCAGTGGAAAAGAGGAAGACCTCCAGTGAGGTGGATTGGTAAAGTGGTAGCAGCAATGGGCTCAAGCATAGTAACAATTGTGAGGGTGGCCCAAGATAGGACAGTGCTTCATTTTGTTGTACATAAGGTCTTTATGAATCAAATGACTCACTGGCACCTAACAGCAACAAGTCTTGTTAGGGTGCTTCAATAAAAAGGTCCAATTCAAAACAGTAGTTTCTGAGGGGATCTGCTGGGCAAGTTTACTCAAGGCCAAGAGGTCAGCTTAGAAAGTTATGGTGACTTGATTTTGGACTTCCAAAGGGGTGGCTCTGGACTATGAACTACATGGTTGGCAGTTGACACCCACCACTTGCTCCTTGGAAACCCTATACAGGGTCGCCATGAGTCGGAACTGGATCAGTGACACTTAACAACAGCAAATCATGATACATTTTTCTCAAAGGACACAAGACAATCATGGGGACTTATTAGGACAAAATTATAAGAAAACTGGAAACTGTTTTGGTAAGAATAAGGCCAGAAAAACTTTACATTATATGTCTACTTTATTTCTAAATTGAAAAGTTTTTTGTTTTGTTTTTTTTTCAAATACAGCGTTAGATAATATTTTAAAGAGTTGTTTTAAAAGATGATGTTGTTGAGCTGGCTCTGACCCATCGTGACCCTTGTATACTCCCAGCCTTGTGGTACCCTCACAGTCATACTGTGAGCCACTGTTGCAGCCACTGGGTCATTCTATCCCGTTAACAGTCTTTCTCATTTTCGCTGACCATCCACTTTACCAAGCATGATATCCTCCAGGACTGCTCCCTCCTGGTTACATGTTTAATGTGCGTGAGACAAACTTATACCATCCTCACTTCGAAGAGTCATTCTGACTGTACTTGCATTTCACTTTTTACAATTAGTTTTATTAGATTCCTGCTTCATGCATTCCATATTCCGATTATTAATGGAGGTTTGCAGCTGTTTCTTCATTTTTGAGTCATGTCACATCAGCACATGAAGGTCCTCCATCCATATCATTAAGGTCAGCTCTGCCTTAAGGAGGCAGTTCTTTCCCAGTTGTATGCTGAATGCCTTCCACCTAAAGAGCTTGTCTCCTGGCACTGTATCAGTAACGTTCTGCTGCTATGCCTAAGATTGTCACTCGTCGATGTTTTTTTCTGAAGTAGACTGTGCTTCTTCCCAGTCTGTCTTATTCTGGAAGCTTCACTGAAACCTGCCCATCGTGGCTGACCCTGCTGGTATTTTAAATACTGGCGGCAAAGCCTCCAGCATCACAGCAACACGCAAGCGACCACAGTATGACAAGCTGACAGCCGAGTGGTGACTTTAAAGAGAATAATCTGAAAATTATTCTAACAGGCATTATATTAACCTGCTTGATTTTTTGTTGTATTTTCTGGTATTAACTGTTGTGAAAATGTCAGCACCTGACCCTTTATTACGAAGTTAAAATAAACCACATGTCACTAAGAATAATTTGTACTTTTATTGTTTCTGTTTAGCTTTTTTTCCCCTATGAAAAGATTATTCTGATTGTTTTTAACCACAGAAGTAATACTTTTATACAGCGAGAAACAGAATTGGTGCAAAGTAATGTGAAAGAAAGCATAATGGGTTTCGAGCTGGGCTGCTAGCCACAAGGTCAGCAGTTCGAATCTACCAACTGCTCCTCAGGAGAAAGATGAGGCTTTTTGCTCCCATAAAGATTTGCAGCCTTGGAAATCTTTACAGGGTCGCTGAGTCAGAACCGATGCCATGGCACACTCCCACCACCACCAATGTGAAATGATGGATTGAATAGTATATAAATCCTGGTTGAATATTTAGAAAACATCACAGTTAATGTCATATATTTTATTATAATATTTATATTGGATTAATGAGAACTTCAAAGCAAATTTTGCACTGTAAAGTTATCATGTTTATGCATTGTGTTGTTTTCTAATATTTTAAACAAATCTCTAGAAAGCTGTTCTAAGCTGATACACTCTTTACATTCTGATTTGCCATGGTACTGAAGAGTTTTTTAAAAGTACCATGTTTGAGGATCTGAACCCCATATGAAAAACAATATATTAAATTCATTGTTATTTGAATGACAATTAAATGGGTTTTTTAAATTAACAGTGTTTTAATAGTATGTGGTATTTCTTATAACTGCTTAACATATTGGTTGGGAAATATTACACTTGATGATGTTTATTCATGTATTTATGCCCCCACCTCAGTTTTTTTCTAAACATGCCTTCTGTTTGCTTGCTTGCCTACAGTACTAAGACAAGGACTGGCATTCAGTCAAATCTATCGTTTTTCCTTGTCCGACGGCACTCTTGTTGCTGCCCAAACGAAGAGCAAACTCATCCGTTCTCAGACTACTAATGAACCTCAGCTTGTAATATCTTTACATATGCTTCACAGGTAATCCTAGTCTAAGAAATCATTTTCCCTTCCCAAATTAAGAGGCACTGTTACAAAAGCAACCAATCATCCTAGAGCTTTTCAGCCTTATTAGGCATTTCTGTAGATCAGCCTCGTCATGTAAAATGTATGTGCTTATTGGGTGCCATTGAGTCAGTTCCAACTCATAGCAACCCTGTGCACAACAGAATGAAACACTGTCTGGTCCTGCACCTCACAATTGTTGTTGTGTTGGAACCCATTTTTGCTGCCACTATGTCAGTTGAGGTCTTCCTCTTTTTCTCTGATCTTCTATATATAATATATTTATAAAATTATATTGCCATTAACTGTTGGCTAAATGACAGCTCCTAAAATTGGCTAAGTAGGCCTATCCTTTGAATGTTGGCCTTAATATTTGTGATTTTTTTTTTTTTTTTTTTAATGGAACTGGGAGCACACAGGCTAGCATTAGCTTCGTCATGCATTCGAGAAGGGATGTTCATCTATTCGCAGTTAGTGAAAAGCAGAAATACCGAAGCCAGGAATGTGATTTCAGTGTGTCTAAATCTAAAAATGTCAGATTTATACACATAGACTTAGAAGGAATACGTGAAAGATTTTTATTCTGAGCTTTAAATTCCTGGCATTCAGCTGTATATTGAAGGGTAACACACATTTCGATCAAAAATGAAAGTAAGGAAAATTGTATGTTCATTTTTAAAGTTAGTGTTATAAACTATATGGTTTTAAATCACAAACACAGGAAGAGGATTAAATTTCAAATTAGTGTAAATATTCATATATGTTACATATAAAACTTTATAAAGTACTATCAGAATATATATATGTATATAATTGCTTTATTTAAAGAGTAAATTTTTATTACCTTTGTCAATTATTTACTCTTAATTTAGGAATTTAAAAAACAAAAACAAGCAGCCCTACGTCTCAACTGTTAATAAATCTGACGTTAAAAGCAATTTGAAAGTGAGTACAGCTGTGCCTAATTTCACTTAAAGCTAGACCCTTGGTGGCATAGTGGAGTAAGCATAGAGCTGCTAAATTCCAGGCCAGAGTTCAAATCCATCAGCCACTGTGGGAGAAACATGAGGCTTCTGTCCTATAAAGATTCACAGCCTTGGAAACCCTACAGGAATCACTATGAATTGAACACACAACACCTTAAAGCTGCTGTTTTATAATCTATGAAATCTGTTTTATTTGGATTTGTGAACTCACACAAGTGACTGCCAATGCTTTGAATTAAAAGCTTACAGGACATGGAAAATCATCTAGCTGAGAAAACCTGCTTTCAGTCATTAGTAAGTAGATGGATTTGGAGTTGTCTAAGACTAGGGAGCTCTGGTAGCGTAGTATTTACGAATCGGGCTGCGAACCTTAAGGTCAGCAGTTCGAAACTACCAGCCGCTCCGCGGGAGAAAGATGAGGCTTTCTACTCCCGTAAAGATTTACACCCTCGGAAACCCTGTACAGGGTCGCTATGGGTCGGACCCGACTCGATGGCACTTAACAACAACAACAACAAGACTAGGGAAATGAAATCCCACACTAAGGTAGCCTGAAGCTGACTTCAAGCCAAGTTGTCTGTCTTGGAGGCTTGAGCTGTGACTTGCAGAACAGCTGAGGGAAGTGAATGGAAATCTGTTTGACAAGACACTAAAGCTGAACACTTTTAGTAACTTTGTTGTCTCTAGAACTCACAGAGTTTCTAATAGAAAGGGGGTAAGTTCTTGCCCCCTAAATTTGCTTTTTTATCATAAGCCAAGTAGTACATATCAGAACACTTCAGGCTTACAGATGTGTCTATTGTTAGGGATTGGAATCCAGCAAGCAATTAAATATGGTTATACTTGTTTAGATCATTTCTTTAAGATGGTACAAGCTCTCAATTACTCATGATAACAAACTGTTTAATGAGAAAGGTGTATTATGTAATTGTAACCTCCCCCCCCCAATGTCTTATCTAGTAACTGCAATTTCAGTGTCGTAGTAGTCAGATATAAACACAGCTCCTCTGAATAACCGCAGACATCTTAATGAGTTGACTGAAAAACATCCCTTTTGGTCCAAAACTGTACATGTTCAGTCTTGTCCCTAATTACCGATGGTTTCATCAAAGTTTTATCTTCCCTTTAAATGTAGTCTATTCTCTTAAAGAAAGAAGCCATCTCATTTTTTAAATTGCTAACAACTTAAGACGTATTTTTTCTTTTAACTTTTGTTTCTTGTTCTGCAGGGAGCAGAGTGTGTGTGTAATGAATCCGGATCTGACTGGACAAGCTATGGGGAAGCCATTGAATCCAATTAGCTCTAGCAGCCCTGCCCATCAGGCCATGTGCGGTGGGAACCCAGGTCAGGACATGACCCTGAGTAGCAATATAAATTTTCCCATAAATGGCCCAAAGGAACAAATGGGCATGCCCATGAGCAGGTTTGGTGGTTCTGGGGGAATGAACCATGTGTCAAGCATGCAAGCAACCACTCCTCAGGGTAGTAACTATGCACTCAAAATGAACAGTCCCTCACAGAGCAGCCCTGGTATGAACCCAGGACAGCCCAACTCCATGCTTTCGCCACGACACCGCATGAGCCCAGGAGTGGCCGGAAGCCCTCGAGTCCCACCCAGTCAGTTTTCCCCTGCAGGAAGCTTGCATTCCCCTGTGGGGGTTTGCAGCAGTACAGGAAATAGCCATAGCTACACCAACAGTTCCCTCAATGCACTTCAAGCCCTCAGTGAGGGGCATGGAGTCTCGTTAGGGTCAGCGTTGGCTTCACCGGACCTAAAACTGGGCAATTTGCAAAACTCCCCAGTTAATATGAATCCTCCCCAACTCAGCAAGATGGGAAGCTTAGACTCCAAAGATTGTTTTGGACTTTATGGGGAGCCATCTGAAGGTACAACTGGGCAAGCAGAGAGCAGCTGCCATCCTGGGGAGCAAAAGGAGACAAATGATTCCAACATGGCGCCGACTGGGAGCAGCGAGAGACCCGACGGGCAGAGTAGACTGCATGACAGCAAAGGGCAGACCAAACTCTTGCAGCTGCTGACCACCAAATCAGATCAGATGGAGCCTTCACCCTTATCCAGCTCTTTGTCAGACACCAACAAGGACTCAGCAAACAGCCTGCCTGGCTCTGGGTCAACACATGGAACCTCGCTCAAGGAGAAGCATAAAATTTTGCACAGACTCTTGCAGGACAGCAGTTCTCCTGTGGACTTGACTAAGTTAATTGCAGAAGCCACCGGCAAAGAGCTGAACCAGGAGTCTGGCAGCACAGCTCCAGGTTCAGAAGTGACTATTAAACAGGAGCCAGTTAGCCCCAAGAAAAAAGAGAATGCACTACTTCGCTATTTGCTAGATAAAGACGATACAAAAGATATTGGTTTACCAGAAGTAACTCCCAAACTTGAGCGACTGGACAGTAAGACAGACCCAGCCAGTAACACAAAATTAATAGCTATGAAATCTGAGAAGGAGGACATGATCTTTGAATCTAGTGACCAGGTAAGTTGTATACTGTGTTCTCCCAAGAGTACTAATCCACATCTATCAAAGATTTTTTTCCCCCCCATAGGTACATTTTGAGGGCTCAAGTGATTGGATAAAATTACAGTGAAGTCTCATTGAAGCTGTGTGTTGCTAGCAAAGAGTGACGTAGTATAAAGTAGATGTGGCTAGCTTTTTCTGTAAAGAGCCAAATAGTAATGTGTACTATGGCTCTGCAGGTCACAGCCCTCTGTCACAGCTATTCACTTCTGCCATCACCGTCCAGAAACAGCTAAAGACGTGTGAACAAGTGTGGCTGTGTTCCCATGAAACTTAATGCAGGGACACTGAAATTTGAGTTTGAATAAGTCTCACAGGTCACAAAAACTAACAGTGGGCCAGATTTGACCCACAGACTATAGTTTGCTGACTCCTGTTATAAAAGATGCCTCAAATAGGAAACAGTCACTTCCTTGAAACATGGACTTAATTGAACAATTCCTTATTTAATTTTCTCTCTTTTAAAATCAGCATTTACCTGATTCTCATACCTGACAAATATCATCCTCTTATCTCAACTGCAGCTTTGATTAATACGGAAGAATTTCTCTTAGACCATTTGTATAAAGATATTTAAAGGGAAATGGATAGTCAGAAAGGACAAGTAAAGTTTAGTTTGATGTGTAGTGTATGTGTGCCATCATGTTTAAGTCCAAAACTAAAGTAATAGGATAATTTTCTGAAAAAAAATCCATGAGAACCAAAACGATGTTCAAGATGTTTTTCCTTGTAGTACTCTCAGGGGAAAAAATAAGCCATTTAATACCCTCTCTCTTTTTCTTATTATTAGGATTTTGGAGGAAATTTACATAGCAAATTATTGTTAAGTGCCTTGGAGTCAGCTCCAACTCATAGCGACCCTATATAGGGTTTCCAAGCAGCAGTTGGTGAATTTGAACCACCGACCTTGCTAGATAAAGATGATACAAAAGATACTGGTTTACCAGAAATAACTCCCAAACTTGAGCGACTGGACAGTAAGACAGACCCTGCCAGTAACACAAAATTAATAGCTCTGAAATCTGAGAAGGAGGACATGATCTTGTGGTTCAAACCAACCTTGAGATCGAGTGCTTATCCTTTCTATGACTCCCAACGTAACAAACTAGATTCTCATTTAAATTTTTCTATAAAATTATTCAGTAACATTGTTCACAGTGTGTCAGCATTCCACTCTGCTGGTTCTGTTTCCATCAGTCTAGTGTCTTTATCCCACCTTACCGTCTCATCTTTGTTTGGTCTAGGGTGAATGTTGACCGTTAGGTCTCACTTAGATGATTATTTAGAGTACTCATGGGTGACATTAGTTATTTTACGAGCCACTATGTATTTTGGGTTAAAGGTGACCACCAGGAGTAATTTCAGTTCCAAGTTTAAACTGTACCCCAAGGCAATAGTCTTGGGAGTTCCTCTAACCTCTACCTGTCCAGTAAGTCTGGCATTTTTTAAGAATTTGCATTTCGTTCTGCATTTTGCTCCCATTCTCTTGTGTCCCTGATTGGAACCATTGGTAGTGGTAGTCAGGTACCAGTTAATTTTTCTGGACTCAAGGTAGGTAAGGCCATGGTTCATGCAGACTCTTATTCTTAGTTCTGTATGGAGACTGGTTTTCTTTTTGTCTTTGGCTTCCTTCTTTCTCCAGATGCATAGAGATCATAGTTGTACCTTAGATGGCCACTCACAACTTTTAAGAACCCAGGCACTACTCCCCAAACTAGGAAGTAGACCATTATAAGCTATGTCATGCCAGTTGACCAAGTTGCCTTCAGAGATTATGATTCATCCCACAAGGTATTTGGTTATGTCTAGAAAGTATCCATATCTGAATACACACACACACACACAGCACACAAAAACGTATATACATTTCCCTATAGAAACACCTGTATGTTCATATGTGCTTACTTCATATAAGCATACATATCTATCTAAATGTAGCCACACACGTATATTTTGGTCGTTACTGTTGTTTGCCCTGATGGCAAAGTGATTAAAGTGCTCAACTGCTAACCAAAAATTGGCAATTCAAACCTGCTAACCACTCTGTAGAAGAAAGATATGATAGTCAACTTCTGTAAAGATTACAACCTTGGAAACCTGATGGGGCACTTCTCTCTGTCCTGCAAGATACGGGCTCACTACAAGTCAGAAGTGACTTGCTGGTGGTGGGTTGGGTTTGATTTGGTTTTATTACTGTTATTATTGCAAATTTGTGTATGTGTGGTTCTTAACACCACCACTCCTTATTCTTGTGTACTTCTCAGTATCTTTTACTTTGGCTAAGTTTTGCTGACTTCACTCTTATTCAATATTTCCTTACCCATCACCGTAACCAGCAAGTGTTCTCTAGAATGCTCTCTAGAAAGGTGTTCTCCTTTCTCTCCTCTAATCCTTGGTAATTTATTCTTATATTTTTCTGATAGTCAGATCTTACAAAATTTGTCCGTCTGTGATTGACTTACTTAACTCAGCACAACGTCCTCCATATTCATTCACATTATAGTATATTTTGAGAATTCATCAATATTCTTTATGACTGCCTAGTATCCTACTACATGTATTTATCAGTTTATCCGGTCATCTGTTGATGGGTAGTTGTTTCCATATTTTTGCTGTTGTGAATAATGCTCTCGTGAACATTTGTTGTTGTTGTTGTTGTTAAACGTTGTCAAGTTGATTCCAAACCAGAGCAACCCTGTATAATTAGGCTTCCAAGGAGTGACTAGTAAGTTTGAACTGCCGACCTTGCGGTTCAAACTGACTATGCAGCCCAGTGCATTAACCCACAGCACCACACCAGGGTCTCCAGTGAACATAGGTATACATATGCTGTTCATGTCAGTAGTTTTAGTTTTCTAAGGTACATGCTTAACAGTGGAATTGCTGGATCATGGGGTATTCTTTTTTTTTTTTTTCTTAAATGTTTTATTGTGAATTATGTGATAGTTTATATGGGAGAACATTAGTTTTACATTCATTCTATCATATATTGTCTCATTGCCATGGTTACAGTCCTCTCCATGCAATCTTTCCCCCATACCCTCCAGGATTTCAGCACACAGTCGCTCTCCCTCTCTGGATCTAAAGTCTCGAGCTGCTCCATTGCTCCACGTCATCATCTCTAGCTCCATTTCAGACATCACTGCTTCTCTGGGTAGGGTCCCGTTCTCTGCTCTTCTCCCTTGATGGTTACATTTCCGACCCTCACAATCAGTCCTGATAACAATTATTCACTATTGTATCACAAGAGACCTGTCTGCATTTCATTGCATCAGCCCCGCCTAGTCAGATTGAATACTACTCACTGGAGATTCTACTTTCCTCCAGGCCCTCTGGGTCTAGGTTCCCTCTTGAAAGCTTGTAAGCCAGTCACTTCTTGCCTTTGTAGCCCCCCGCCCCCCATTTTGGGTAGCCAATGTCCAAGTTGCCCATCCCTGTCTACTCTGTGTGTGGAGGGGATGGGAATGATTTTGCTGTAAGGACTTGTTCCCTCTTTTGAGCTACTGCTTCCATAGGTGTAGGTCAAGTTCATCAAATTGTATGAGAATACTTTTTTTTTTAATTTCCTCTTCTTTTTACTTCTGGTTGAGCTCTAATCATCCAGTCACTGAGGCCAGGATAAGTGGGTATTATCTGCAAGTGTGGGTATTCTTATGCATATGCCCTCTCTTCTTATCAGCTGGATGCTTCACTCTCCACTCTAGTTCTCTGTGGCTATGTCACTGACTTTGGGCCCAAGAGTCCCCAGGTCTTCCCACACTGCTGGCCAACCAGGTCTTCACCCGGGTTCACAGAAGTCTATTGAACGTTGTAGGGCTTAGCTCACCGCTTCATTGCTGTTTTTCCCTCACTTCCCCTTATCGGTGTCGAGCGTGGTCACCAATCACAGCGTGTATTCCCATTGAGTCTTAGTCTTGGAAGGGGGTTTGCACTGAGGGGACCCCACCACTTGCCTTGATGTTTCCTGGGCAAGCAAGTTGCTTGTTCTTGTAGTAACAGTCCGTCTGCCTATGTTGTTTTATATTTTTCCTGTAGGTCTTTCTTTTAAGAAGTATCTTCTGTTCTTCTAGCCACTCCAGGTTGGTCTGCTTGTCCTTTCAAGTGGGAATTTCCCATCTCTGGAAATCTGGATGTGGTTCAGGCTTCCACCTATAGTCTTATGTATTGCAAAGGCTCCACAGGAAGCCTCCTTCACTGGGCACATTGTAGCCCCATTTTAGCTATTTCAATCAGTTATAGGCAGAAGACGGACTTACAAGCTTTCTATGGTGATGCTTTTCGCTATTCCTTTCTCTCCCCCTCCAGTGTCTATTTTATCATATAATGCAAGGAAACCCAAGATTCAAAAGACAGCCAAGCATTAACATTGTTCCCAGATTGTGCATATATCATTATTTACCTCTGTCTCACTTAGCCCATTGAGACCTGTCTAATTGTTCTCCCATCTGCTTTGTTCTTCCATTCCATGGGGTATTCTTTTGAAGAAGTGTCAAACCATTTTCCAAAATAGTTGAACCAATTTGCTGTACCACCAGTAGTGGACCAGGATTTCAGTAGCCCCGCAGCCTTGCTAGTATTTGCTGTTTTCTGGGTTTTTGATGGGCCGTTTTTACAGGAGTGAGATATTATAGTTTGTGTTTCTCTGATGGCTAATGATCATGATCATATTGGATCTCTGGATTTCCTCTTTGGTGGTTTGTTCATGAATTGTGCCTATTTTTAATTGGGTTATCTTAGTTGCACTTATGAGATTAGAATCCTATCAGATCAATCATTCACAAAGATTGTTTCCTACTCTTTAGGTTCTGTTTTTATACTTTTGATAATGTTTTTTGGTGAGCATAAATATTTAATTTTTTAGGACACCCAGTTATTGAACTTGTCTTGTTACTCATACATTTGTAACTATGTTTGGTAATCTATTACTGAAAAAAACTCAGCCCCATAGTTTTGTTCCC